AAAGTCCTGGCCTTTTAGACTACAACTGGATACAATAAATATTAAGACAGTGTAAATTTTATAATGCTTGAGCCTTATTTATTTATTTATTTATTTAACAATTGTTAGTGTATATAAGTGTGTTTATGTATTTAAAGATTCTGAATTGTGCCTTAAATGATATATATTTTTGCTTAACTTAAAAAAGTGAGTAAACCCATTGCTTTTAAAATGATTAGCTGACTTTATTTTAAAAAGTTAGTAAACTTGTTGCCTTAAAATGATTCAATAAATGAATTATGTGCATAATTAAGTCAACTTAACCATTGCAACTTACAATGAATTTATTCACTTTTTAAAGTAAAGTCAACTTTACTGTGTCAAATGGCTGGATGGATGTTTGATTCATCATCGACTGCATGGCTACAGCTTCTGTGTGATAGTGTTTACTCACTCACGTACGGGAAGCATTTCTTCAAAACTTCAAATCATGGGTTGAGATCGCGTTAGTATCCTCGTCGCCATTGTGATGTTTATGTATTTCTGTGATGATGACAATAGACTCGCATGCTGGAGGAAACATAGCTCTTTATTATTCACTTGCACACTAACTTCCTTACATGCGCCACCTGCATGTGACGTCAACTCACGTGACTTCACAGGTCACATCCAAATGCATATGTTACAGAACTAACTGCTTTTAACAGTGTATACAGTATACGTCATATAGAAATATCATTATATATAAAAAGCCTTTATGCCTATCCAAGTTTTAAGAACAACAAATAATAATTTGACTTCTAGTTGATCATTTGGTATCAAAGTGACTTATATAAAGGAAAAGGCCTCTAGATTACACTTTTTTTTTACCAAAATAAAATATGAACATGCCTTGATTTTTGATGATTTAATTAGTACAGTAAAGTCTAAATTTGCTTAGACAAAAGTCTTGTAACTTAACAGAAATAATGTACAGTATAGAATATAAAGTCATAGTGCATTGAAAAAAGAATGAATATTGTGTATGTCAACGTCAAGTTATTATTTGTTGATCTTACAACTGGGATTGATGACAAGACTTTTCTCAGGCAGTATATATAAATAATTATGGACATGGTTAAGCATGTTTCACCTAAATTGTCAAGCTGACATTATCAGAGAAGGACTTTCATTCCAGAGTGAAAGTGAACAGAAAGTAAATGGTCAAATTTTGGTTAAAGATTACCAAAAAACAAATAGCTATTTTCAGTGCAATTAACTATTAATTAATTATTCAGCTTAAGACCAGCAATGCACACTAGCAAAATAAAAAAAATTGCATGTCCAGTTAATTGAAGTCATGAAACAAATAATCTACAGATAATTACATTTGTATGACTGGAATCTACGTAACTATTTATCACAATTATTCTTCAGGAATACCAGGAAACCTGAAATGAAATTATGATTCACTTTCAACACAAAGATGCTGCAAACATTTAAAAAAGATGATATAATTTCAAAAAAATTGGTAAAAACATTATCTGACTTCAGATTTGTGAAATGAGGTTACATAAAATCTGCTTATTCAAAACCTGAACAGTGGAAAGGCTGAATAAAAATGCACATTCACTTTCTTCCAGTAAGTTTCTTCAGATTTGTAAAATTCGGTTAATAAATTCTACTTAAAATAAAAACAGAAAGCCTAAATAAAAATGCTCATTCACGTTCTTCCAGTAGGTGGCGTAAATAAAACGATAAATCAAATAGACGCATAGATGCCACAAAAATTTGAATTAGATTATATTATTTAAAAATATTAAATAAGAACAATGATCTTCAGATTTGTGAAATTAGTTTAAACGAAATCTACTTAAAACAAAAATGGTGGAAAGTCAGAATAAAAATGCTCATTCACTGTCTTCCGGTAGTGTAAATAGAACAATGTAATTAAATTGACACGTAGATGCTGCAAACATTTTCATTTGCTTATATTGTCTTAAAACAATATAAAATAATAATAATAAAAAAATTATCTTCACATTTGTAAAATTAGGTTATTTGAAATCGAAAACAGTGGAAAGGCTGAATAAAAATTCTATTTTGCTTTCTTCCAGTAGGTGGCGTAAATAGAACAGTTTAATTAAAGTGATCAATCACCCAAATAATGAAAATAACCTCATCATTTATTCTCCCTCATGTGGTTTTAAATCTTTGAGTTCCTCTTTTCTGTTGACCTTGCAAGAAGATATTTTGGAGAATGGTTGACTTGACATTCATTTCTATAGCAGGAAAAAAAAAAAAAACTATAGTAGTCAATGAGCCCCAGCTACCAAATTTTTTTCAACAGAAGAAAGAAACTCAAATAGGTTTTGAACAAGTAACAGGTGAGTAAATGATGGCAGAAATATTCATTTTTTGGGTGAATTATCCACCCAAAATGTTACTGCTGCAACAAATCAGTTGTGCAGGTATTTAATATGCACTTATGGAGATGATCATTGTGCTCAGGGTGCTGCAGAGATCTTATTAGTGTAATGAAACACCTCTCTGCCAGTTGACAATGTGCTGGCTTCATGTGGACAGGCAGATTGTAGTTTTTCTTTTTCCATGTCTTTCTTTCCCTGTCATTTTTCCTGTGCATTTGTCCTCAGTGCATGTTCTGATCATAAGGGTTTCACTCTTTAATTTCAGATCCAAGAAACAAAAACACAACACATATCTGTCTTTTATGTTTTTGTATTTAGGGTTGTTCTACTAAATGGAAGCCTTTTATGTAGAGTATATTGAAGAGAAAGAGTGTTAACTACTGCCAACTTATATTGTGTGTTAACAGAGGCATTTTATGTAATCACAAAAATCTACTAACCTTTTGTTTTTTTGAAATAACATTTATTACATTCACTCCAGTTTGTCCTCTCTAAAATTGTGATGAAAAAGGAAAATACAGAAGTAACTGGCAGTATTCTTATCTTATCTATATCTTGAAAAATAAATATTATTCATGTTTATTTAGATATATCTATGCATATAATATGCGTATATTTATTTTAAGTAAAATAAAAACACACACAGAATAATTTATATATATATATATATATATATATATATATATATATATATATATATATATATATATATATATATATATATATATATATATATATATATATATATATATATATATAATATATATATATATATATATA